TCATACGTTAAGTTCAAAGGGTCTTTAAAATGTCCTTCGTGTTTCAAGCTATATTTTGTTATCATTTAATTTGCGTTTTTAACAACCATAATTCCTATTAACGTCATCATTTGAGGAACTTTGCGTCACTGAGTCGAGACCTTTATTTCGTATTGAAGTGTATGACGTAAAGATTTGCATGTCGATCTCACCATAAGACGACAGCTGATCCCCATTGTACTGCAACCGTTTGGATTTACTACAATGTTCAGATTTACACAGTTCATGAGACATCCATCCTCGTTTCGAGTGACAATGGGCCAAGCTTTCGTTTGTCGTGTCACAAACTTGTAAGTCTCAAGTTAATAGTAGACCAAGAAAACCTGATGTTAAATTAGGACTTGTTGTGTTCCTAAAAAGTACGTGGACTATCTCTAAAATATAAAACGCTCCAGAGATGGAGGCATCGAAACAAAGAGAGAAAAGTAACAAATAGTATTACCAATTGTCCTATTTTGAAACGGCCGAATACAATATGTGGGAGCTGACAATAGAAAGACAATCATTTAAAGATTGCACTGAATAGAAGATTCTAAACCCCGCAGACTAAATAAGGAATGAGAAAAGTGTGGGGATGGGTCACTACAGACTTTTACACTTATTAGTTCCAGGCCTGATTATGTCCATCATATAATAGATGAAAGTTTAGCTCAGTCATACCCGAAACGAGAGCGAATGTCTCGTGGACAGCATTGACTTGAACATCGTAGCAAATCCAAATGGTTGTAGTACAGTGGGAATCAACCGTCGTCTTCTGGCGAGATCAACCTATGCAATTCTCCTTTATGCAATTTCATACAAAATGAAACTCGCCCAAAAAATGAGTCATACAAATGGGTTGACCTCGTTTTCGCAGCTTGGTCATGTTGTCAGGGTTGGTTGGTCTCGGTGTCCCAAGTCCACAGAATTAAGATAACTACTATAACAGAGGACTTCGGAAAAGGTGCGTCCAAATAAGCCGCCTTGACAACATGAACAGGTTGCGAAAACGAAATAAACCCACTTCTATATATAGAAAGGAAACTGCGACCATTCCGAAGGCCACACCACCATTGTCTTCATATATTCGAATAAGTGATCCCGTTTATAATCCAGCTGTAAATTCTTAGGCTGGAACGACTTCATAAAATGACCAATCAAATTAACGAATTTTAAGATTATTTTTGTTAATATGAATCGCGCATCAAATTCGTGTCGACCAATCAAATTACACCACGGCATCGAGCCTACATCTGGACCTATCAGATCTGGATGTGTTTGAACCAATCGGAAACTGGTATTCAAACAATTCAATAGGTTTAAGCAGCAAAAAATCCAGCTACTGCTCCCAAGCCCTGTCATACTGACGGTTAAAAGCTGTCCTCATCGCTGGCCGTCGTTGCGCGCACTCTCTGTCATCACTAGTTTGCCTCATATTCTGCCAATGAAATCTCACTACGCTCGTCTTCACTCTGGTGCCGTCGTATCGTCAACTTGGACACTATCGGCCTGGATGTTATATGCGTGCTTCACTTTTATACGCAGCTTCTTTACTCTTCTGCATCTGTTGTGAGGAGGAAAGTCGTTAGGACTTCCGAGTAAGGAGAAGGATCGCACACAAACAGAGTCTTCCAACGACCGTTTCCCTTTCGTCCGCAGAAGCAATGGAACCTAGCGGCAGAACCGAAACAAATCAACACCAGATGAATGCTTCACCTAACTTGAGAGAGCACTATTCCTATTGCGGGTAAAAAAATGCAGACACAACGCCAACTTGGCATAATTCACCATTTGGGATGGTCCGTACAGTGTGAACAAGGCATAAATTAGTCTGCATTACCATATCCTGCCTCCCAAAGGTCATTATGGCAGACAGGCGGTTGAATGGGCTCCCCAGACGTCTCAGTCACTGTCTCATGCCGAAGCCTTACAGCTGCTTCGGTCTCGGGCACCTCTTCACAGAATGCCAATGCCGACCCGCGTTCACAGTCAATCCTGTCTCGCATCTCCACCTCAAGGCCATGGCGACGTTGGCTGACTGGACTCAAGAGGCGCCAGGCAGACAGACGTCGGCGCGTCCAAGGCGAAGGGAAGCTGGCCGCCTGCTCCAACAGGTAGGCACGAGCTTGTCGTGGACTGGGACCGAGGAGGCGAGCACTGAGTTCAACACCGCCGCCAAATAGGACTTGGCACGATGCGGCATTTGAGAGAAAAAGTGGACAAAATGAAATCGTCGTAGGGCAACGAGCACAAGTGACGATGTGAAAAAGCCAACTCAAGTGGACAGATTGAAGAAATTAAATGAAGGAAAATCCAACCAAGATGGATTCAGACTATCTAATGTAAAGTACTGGTATGCATCGAAGCAATCAGAAAGTCTTGAATAAGAACTTACTCAACCTAGATGACTAGTAGTTGAGTTGTTCACAGTCATGTGGGGGCTAAAAACCCTTCTTACAATACCTAGCATGGCAAGATTCCAATTCAATCATTCCTGACCGTTCGTGAAAGTATAAGTACTGGGAGAGGCCGGCTTTACTATTAAATGCATGTTTGGCTCGCCGATAATCTCGCTATAAAATGTGATTTTAATGAGATTCTTTGCGTTCCACTGACTCACTGGCAAATGTTGCTGTGTGACGGGGTGGTAACATGTCGCTACTTCATGAGTAAGACTCTCTTTTGAATCCCGTTGGGGTGGAGCGAAGCCGAAATTGCACTGCAGTCTGAAGAATACAACCTTTTGGGAAACAAGGCTATGTGAAATTCAATTGCATCTTGAGGAGATTCCTGGGTCAAGCTCTACTATCCGTCCTTAAATGGCCCTAGAAGACATGTAGTGACAAACTCCTTATTTAGTAGTAACTGATATATTAAAACCAAATATAACCAATGACAATCATAGCCTTACCTGGATCAAGTTCATATAACAGTCAAATGTAAATATCTTAGGTTAAACAGTTGCAGTATATTTAAGATATAATAAAAGTATTTGCCCTATTCCATTTAAGCTAGTGAAGGACTTGTAGTAGAATTCTCCCATAATGACATGAATAGGTCTCACGCTTCCAATTAATTTGGAAACCTAGAAGATATCGTCATCCATAGTGGACTACGGTTTCGATCTCACCTGAACCTGTCTT